TCTTATCTTAGTAACATCTTCTTCCATATATGGGAAGAAGATGTTACTAAGATAAGATCAGCTTTCTCTATACAGTATAATCCTACAACTGGTGTGTCCACTTGAGATTATTTTTTTAAAAAAAAATTCTCTATGGTAAACACTGAGTCTAGAAGAACTTCCAAACTCTGTAATATTTTCTTCAGAAGAGTACAATCTAATTTCAGACCAGCGCCCCCTCCCCCTTTTTTTTTTGGTGCCTTCCAGTCAGTGCTGACTCCTAGTAACTGCCTGGACAAGTTCCTGCAGTTTCTGTGACAGGTTTTCACAGTAACTGTAGTTTGCCATTTCCTCCTTCTTAGGGCTGAGAGAGAGTAACTGGCCCAAGGTCACCCAGCTGACTTTGTGCCCAAGGTAGGACTAGAACTCATGGTCTCCCAGGCTTTAGTCCAGTGTCTTAACCACTACACCACACTGGCTCTCTAAAACTGACTCTCAAAATCACCCTCTGATTCTATTATAAAACAATCACACCTAATTTAAAACAGATGTGAGCCACACTGGCTAAAAAAGGTGATGTGAATTGATCATGAGTTCATCATGATGACCTGTGAGAACTGCATTAAACAGAACCATTTAATGACACACATATGAATGAAATTTTGTTATACTGCTTCAGTTACTTTAAAATGAATGTTGATTTATTTTCCTTTATTATTTTTTATCATGGCTGCATTAATATTTTACCATGGATGTTTCAGGATTTTGAATTATGTTGTTTATGACTGAGAGTCTTTTGATTGTCGCAATAGAGAAATTTAAGAAATTAAAAAAAAATCCTACCTCTACTTAAGCACAGTACCTTTTCTTTCATACTATCAACCTTGACAAGCATAGCATCCTTATAGTAGGAACATCGTTTATCTGCCCATGTATACTTCCCTTTTTTTTCCTTTTCAAAATAATAGCAATGTCCATCATAAAACCACCATGGAGCATTAAGGGGACATTTTGGATTTATGAGGCCTGGAAATAATACAGACTGAATTTGAAAAGTGTATAAAAAGAGGTTATACTAACTTCTACATTAAGTGAGAGCAATACCTATATCTGGAAAGACCTATAATTTTAATGATCAGGATTTTAACTTTTGAAAATATACTAAAATTATATTTAATTATAATGGCCCACATTTAATTTCTGAATTAGCTAAATGAAATCTAGAGACAGCTACTTTTTGCTGGTTGAAAGGTTTAAAGCAAATCCATATACAGAGAAAGAATCTTGTAGTTAACTCAGACTTTCCTCTTCCTTCCTTTTCTTAAAATTATAAAATTATGAGCTTGGAAAAAAAGGGCCCATCTGGACCATTCCAACAGAAAATTTCAAGTTGAAATTGAACACAAGTTCAATTCAGTTGCCAGTTTCAGTGGAACACAACTGGAAACATTTATAGGGAACGAGACAAGATCACTACTCCTTATTTTTTCCTAGGTTCACAAAAATAAGTGGAATGGTTTTCTAGATGCCAATGAACTAGAAATTACTGAATCTGCTGCTGCATAGAGCTCCAATGGCCATGCATGGTAAAACATGCAAATAATTTATGATAATCACCTATCTGAAATAAATACATTGATTTAACCCACAAAATAAGCATTCTAAGAATAATATGGTCATCATTTGACAAATAGAACAGGCAAACAGTGCAAAATAGGGCTACAACTAGTAATGTTCTCTAGGATTGAAGAATTTTAGCACTTTCTTCTATCAGGCACATTAGCTAGAAGGGGAATTAAGTTCTTAACATGAGTCCTTATAACAAAAACAGTCCCTGTATTGCTGCTGTGGTCATTGAAAACAGACGAGGCAATGGACCCACACCTAAATACATGCACAACGGGGCATTCGTCCCACCAAAATCCTACTCTGCTTTATATATATGATAAACAGCGCCTATGAAGAACTAGTGGAATTCCCAAAGCTTGAAAGTGAGATGGAGGTCTATAATATCTAAGGAAATAAAATAAATAAAATGGATTTGAAATACTTATTAATCAAAATCACCATGAGCTTTATCTTTATGTAATGTAATATTACTAGACAAATTGGCAAAATAAATGTCATTAGACTATATTCAGACATTACTGTAAAAGAAAGGCTGTTGACTGTATTAGTCTGTTCCTTTCAGTGCTCTCAATATATGTTGAGGTTTGGGAAAGCTGGCTTAACAACTGCAAAGTGGCAAATATCTGAGCCTTGAACAAGAGCATTTAATTAGCTGTAAGATTAACTTGAAATAATGGTATTTCACACCTAGTCAGTTTGATTATACAAAACAAAAAACAAAACAAAACACACCCCATTTATGAAAAACTGGGAGGGGGGAAGATAGTAGTGAACCTATTTTGGCATCCCAATACTATTACACTGTTTTGTTTATTCTTTCTCGTTTGCAAAAGTAAATGCATCCATTCTTAGTGAGAGGCAATATTCATCAGTCTGCTTTACCGAACATCAATACCAGCAAAATCTGGCAGGTTTTATAAAGCAACTTTTATATTTTGTTTCAACTGGGTCCCATTTAAGCTATTTCTAAGAGTATCAGAGCAAGGGATGGTGCTCAGAAGGAGATATCAAAATTTCCAGAAAGAGAAGTTAATTCACCATACAACTTTAATTTTAGCACATCCTAAAAGATCACTGAAACATAGTTTTGTAGGCAAAAAGAGGACAGACACACACACACACATTGGAGTACATTTCAAAAGAATGTAAGAGTCTCCTGAAACTAAATATCCAAAAGTGTTCCTTTCATCTTCCCAGGTATTGTTGCATAAAGCAATATCTTGAATAACATCCACAGACTTAAGAAATGCAGTTATGCAAAGTTTGTAGCTGCAGTATTTTCTAGGATCTTAACTGTTCATTCTTCTCAATTTAAAAATACACTCTGTTACAGATAATATGACTACATGAAATTCACAGAAAAACTGTGAGCTGTACAGAAGTTATAGAGAATTATACTTAACACAAGTTTTTACTTAATATTATTATGCACATCTGATCACATTCTTTTTTCTGTGTCTTATACTGAAGTTCATTCTATTGGTACTGTATGAGTTTTTCTTACCTTAAAACCATACCTACCTAGGTTTCCAATCATGATCACAATCAAATGCCAAAACCACAAAAATCTTCAGATTCAGACAAAAACGTGCTTTGGAAGGCAGTCACAATATTTCAGGAAAAGGCATAGCTATTTTCAAAGATGCAGGCAGGATCTATGTTTGCCCCTCATGCTTCCCCTTCAAATCTGAAACACTGCATTATCCTATTATTCTTTAATATATTTTAAACTCATTATCACCATGGCACTTGAGTTGCTCTAACTGAGGCTGAGTTGTAATTTAGTCTCACATTTTTTTGTCTGGTTGCTTATTCGATGGAAAGACTTAGTTTGGAAAACTAACTCTGTGTGTATGGATGGATGAGTTCCTGCCTAATAATCACATTCTGATTTCTTTTAAAATATGCATCTTTTATATAGATTACTGCCATGAAGACTACAAAGGCTCAGTTAATCAATCTATCAGCTACATAACTTCACAAAAATATATTTATCAGCAAAAAGTAAATTTCCTTTAAAACATGGGGAGTGTTGGGGCTAAGAGGCCACAAGAGACACAAAATATAGCAGACATGTATAACTATTTAAGAAATGCCCTGTGATTCTATAATCTGTTCACTTTTTGCGATTCTACAAAGATTTAAAGTTACCAACCGATTGTTCCCTCCTTTGCAAGCAAATGCTTTACATATCATTTGGATCTATGCTATATTCAGAAAAGAATAAGAAATAGTTTAAATGAAGCTGATCATAATACTACTATACCTAATTCACAGAGTTCTCCTTTGAACTGACCAATGCAGTGCAACCTTTCTGGGCACTTTCCAGTTACTGAATTACATCTGAATCCTCCATAGCATTTCTTACAACGTAAAGCACAGTTATCACCATAGTAACCAAAGGTGCATTCTATGAAAATAATCACAAATCACATTATGTCAACATAATAATATACCGAATATAAAATTCAACAACTCCCCAAAGAGAGCCATGTAATGAAGCAACCAATATGCGATAAGTTTCTATAAGAATTCAGCTGATTCATATACCATTATGAAAAAGGAATCATCACAGGATCATTGTAAATGGCTAAGTTGTTGAATCCAAATCTCTGTTCACTACAGAACTACAGCATTCCCAGTAGTTATCTAACTATTCAGCTTCCCTTTACATATATTTGGAGAAGGGAGCTGACTGGGAGTTGATTTCATTGTCAAACTATTTAAACAAAGTTTTTATCTAATACCCAAAGGAATCTGTTTTTGTATAACTTCAGTCCATTATTTGTATCC